ACTGAAAACTTATTGTGTACTATATGCATAGTAAAGATGAAATGTGTTTCTGTAAAAAGTATACAAAAATTTAATTGCAGTTCAGTTGAATAATTGATAGGAAAATTTTTATTTTTGTTAAGAATAAAAACTGCTTTGTACTTTGCTATTAAAGAACAGGTTTTATCTAGGCAAAAGTTACTTCATTTCCTTTAGCACACGTGTAGTACAATGCAGTTTTGATTTTAGTTGCACAATTTCCTGTAGTGTTATAGGGTTGCACAGCTCCAAAGCACCACATCTAGAAATTGTTCTGTTCCCCTCTCCCATCCCATTCCATTGTAGATCAAAAAAATAGAATACAGACATTTGCACCTATTTGTATTGACTAAAATTTGAATGTATGAATAAGAGATAAAACAAGGTACTGGCAGCAGTGTTAACTTAGGTACACAGACCATGTGAACATTTTTGTTTACTGGTTGGACTGTTACACATATAGTAGACTGTGTGACTGCTGCTCATTTACATCAAGATCAATGAAAATCAAACCAGCCTGTGTTCAGTCTCCAAAAACATATCATCAAAGACATTATTTCAGTGGTGTCTGTTATTCTGTTCTAGTAGAGAAATTGGGCATGATTCATGTTTAATTACAAAATGCAATAGGTAACAGCTCAGGAGTAGATGATATTCTAGAGCAAAATTGCAGTTATCAGTATGTTTTTGCTGGGTTGGACTATGGTTAAGCCAGAGAGAAGTATAGAAAATGAATAGAAAGCAACTTTTACAGGCCAGCTATTCCATAACAACTTCACATTTATAAAATTATTACTCTACAATAAAAAAGTTTTAAGATGATTCAGAGATAGTTCAAATGCAGTTTTTCAAAATGTGAAATACAGCAAATTCATAACAGGAGATATCTGTAAGATCTGAGAAATTTAACACAACATGGATCTTTTTTGACCAGTTAAATATATTTGCCCCTTTCATCTCATAGACACCTTATTGCACCAGTTTCAGATAAAAGCACTGTACTATGCATCCTTCTTGCTTAGAACTAATTGATTTACTACTTAAGAAATCACAAGTATATTCAAAGTTTAAGTGGTCATGGAGAAGGCCACTCAGATTAATCTGATTATTGCATGTGTTTTTGTTTGTTTAAGATTTGGACAGAAAGGTAAAGCTGTAAGGATTGAGAGGGTCATCTATACTGGGAAAGAAGGCAAAAGTTCTCAGGGATGTCCTATTGCTAAATGGGTAAGAATAATGTCCTTTTAACCATTATAACCATTTAACCTTAATAATGATCTAGTTCAGTTTGATTATGCATGACATGTGTATTCATTTGAATTGAATTAGGAGAATTAAAATGGCAAAATACTGACAATACTTCAAGCTGCCTAGCTGCCCAGCTTCAGCTGATCTCTGTGAAATTCCACCTGTTTCAGCTCAGTTAGATGGCTATTAGAAGGTGTAACATTTGGCCTAGCAGTATTGAAAACATGAGAAGGAAACTACTTTCTCTTATATTTAAGATTGGTAATACCAGACAATATCCGTACTGCTTAAATATTGCATACAAGTATATAAATAGGTGCAGTGGAACCACTACAGTGTTTTGAAAATACAGTCCGATTAACAACCACTAAAGTGCATCCTCTTAGTGAATGTTATTTGCCTTTGGTATGACCATTACTGAAAACTACGAGTTGGATGGTAGAAGATAAGATGAGGATAAGTGGATATGTTGTTAATGAGAAACTTTTCTTGTGCCAGGGTCTTACGTTTTGCAGAAATGTCCGTAGTATTATGGGCACTGGGAAGCAGGTTCTTACTGCTTTGGGCAGCACTTATGACATCGTGGGTGGTGCCATAAAATTTACACATAATAAATCATAGGGACACATACTGTCAGCAAACTAAGAGTCTGACCTCAGGCTTCTGGTTTTATCATCTCACTGACACAGTGAGAGTCAGGATTAGTAGTGAAATAGAGGGTTTGCTCCTCTGTGAAACTTTTCTAGTTTCTCCTACAAGAAAAAGGTTTAAGTTATACATAGAAATCCTAAAAGGGGCTTTTATTTAAGCACAGAAATCTACCGCCTGGACAGAAATAGTGTGTCCATCATCATTCTCCTCCAGTCCCCTCCCCCAGCAATGCTTAGTGTTGCAATAAAACTTTAGGGAGACAGTTGTGCTGGGTCACAAAATGATCACATTATTCTGCAAATGTAGCATTGCATCTGGCCTGGTTTTTCCATGCCCTGTAGTCAAAATGGGTGCCTGTAGACATGCTTGTTAATGTTCTAATTAGAATACTCCAACGTCGCCTCAGCATCGCTTGTAGTAAGCCATCCACTTTTAAAAACGGCTGCAGGGGTGCTTTCACTAAAGCTTGTTGAATGAACTTCATAAATAAATCACTCCCATGGCCATTTTGAAATGCGGGGGCTTAATACTTGTGACAGTGAGCCATTTAAATTAAAGTGGCTGTCTGGGAACTGCTCTAGTTAAATTGACACCCCCCACCCCACCCCCATCCCTGAGCACATGTGTAGGTAGTGTGCCTAATCAGAGTTCCCTCTGCTTTCAGGAAGCAGACAGAATTATTTTTGTCTATCAATGTATTACTCAATGGAAGCAAGAATCTGTGTGTCAGAAGTATCAAGCATGGTTGAGGAGAGGACAAATGGGCATTCATAACTTGTTACCATTAATGCTGAAATTTCACAGTCTCTTGCTCTTCACTAAGAAATACTTTGTTTGCTTTCTGGGGATTGCTATGCATGCAGGTAGTTCGTAGAAGTAGTGATGAAGAAAAGCTGCTTTGTTTGGTGCGGGAGCGAGCTGGCCATACCTGTGAAACAGCAGTGATAGTGATCCTCATCCTGGTATGGGAGGGGATTCCTGTGAGCCTAGCAGATAAGTTGTATTCCGAACTCACCGACACTCTGCGGAAATATGGCACACTTACAAATCGGCGGTGTGCCCTCAACGAAGAGTAAGTAAAGCAAATCATATTATCTTTTCCCTTGGGGGTATTATTGAGCTGTAGCCAAACAAATGCCAGTCCCACTTATAGCTTGGATCTGATGGTGAACTCACTGGTTTTACACTGGTGTAAATCTTGACTCTCTGTGGTTTTGCTTTTGATTTAGACTGATGAAATTAGAACAGTGCTCATAAAATCATAAGAAAATAATAAGTGCCACACTGGATCAGACCCGTGGTCAATCTAGCCCAGTATTCTGCCTCCAACAGTGGCAGAAGTAGATGCTATACTAGGAGAACATTGAACTAGATCTGTCCACTATTCAGTACCCTCTGTGGCATCCACCATTTATTGTTTAAGAGATGTCAGTGAAAATATCTCCCAACCTTCTGTTCAATAGCCATTAATAGATCTATCATGCGTTAATTTATCCTATCCC